AACATTTATTATATTGTATGATACAAAGTTACATATCAGTTAAGGTACATCGGCAAAAACTAGACTTACAGCCAGACATATGTGTTCGAATCATGTCAGAAATAATTGAATTAATTCACACGTAATTGCAAGGCGTCAAGGCTATAAAATTTCGTATAACTAGATTACAATAATATTTATAGTTGCATCAATATATACTAGGCTTCAAGGCTATAATATTATCAAAAATGCGCCAGCGATAATTAGGTTTTTCAATGGTATCATACAAGCCGTATTTAGTATAATTAATGCAAAAATACACTAAAAATGTATCATTGATTACAAGGTTCAAGGCTATCATATTTAGTGTAATGAGAGAAAACTTACATTTAAAATATTTCAAGAAAGGTAAAAACAATCAAGATCAATCATTTTTGTTAAAGTTTACATGTTATTTGCGATTTAAGACTGATTTTGCAGTATTTTATCACCATATTTCTACTGCGTTACTAACGCAGTAAGGGCTTTTTGCACATTTTGACCTCTTTTTGGTTATTTTTATGGATTGTAAGAGCCAATTGCAATATGTAAATAACTTTATTTGTTCACCTTACAATATTTTACTGTCAAATACATTATCAAAATTTTCATGAAATTTAACATGAATCTGGAGGCGTGCTGCTTTAACTGTTACTATAGAAGTGTGAAAATTCTACGTTCTATTAACACATATGATTTTAAAAGTAACTTCTAGTTTTGTTATCAAATAGCAAAGTATGGACATCGTAAAGAGGTGATAATGTATTTCCCGTAAGAAGCTTAGAATTTCAGAAAATTATTACATATAAATTTGTAGAAATGGATGATTAATGGGCTGATAATGTTCTTGGGGTTTTATCACATGTACTTAACCTTCTTGCAGCAGAAGCACGATATCACCATAGATGTAACGTTAATTTTAGAACAGGAAAGCAATTACCAAAAATGTAGAATGATGTTAATGCCTTGAGGTAAAATTATGTTGGTAGACTAGAAGATCCCGACATGAGACAGAAGCATTTAATAATCTCATAGATTATATAAATGCATGTGATAAAAATCCAGTACCACTTAAACATCTTGTATTTCAAATGCATGCAATGTTTGGTGCAAATGCAAACTCAAGTAAATATTCAAGGAAAAAGATTATTGAACTCTTTTGAAGCTTTTTAATGATTTTTTCAAAGGATGGTAAAGGAGATATATTTAGTTTGAGAGAAACCACAAGTTCCATTATACATGATTTCATGAAAAAAGATCTCTGAGTGAAGAAGAGAAGCATTGTAAAAACAGATGCCAAATTTATTCGTGCCGGCATTGACTTATTTGATGCACCAAAGGGGATATATCTATCGTTTTCATCTACAGGTTCTGGTGTAGAAAATCTGAATTATATTCCAGAGAGTCTTTAAAATCTCTTAAGCGATCTATGATGACGTTTAACTTGGTTCAATTGGTCAAGTCATCATCCAAGCATGTTGACCAAGAGGCGTTATAGCACTATTGCCACTCGACCTTGCAGTATAAATACTAGTACATCACTTTGGGTCAAAATATCTTATAGATGTATTAAATTCTCTTGGATTTTGTGTATCAAATTGGGAAACGCAAAAGTATTGATCAAGCTGCGGCTGCTGTTCATGAATACGTTCTAACTTTTTTCCTGGGCATTTTACACAATTTATTGCTGACAATAATCATAACATCATAACATTAGATGGTCATGGAATTTTCCATGGTATGGGAATGATTACCTCAACTAGTGATATTGAAGTTGTCAGAAGAAATGTGAGCCTCGAGGAGCTACAGAGTTTAGCTAAAGTAACTATAAAGTATTTTGTTCAACCGTCATCGACACAATTCCTGTTTATTTTAAAAACATTTCTAATTTATTATCAGAAGAAAGAGACAATTTTGAACAATTTGTAAAACCTCTTTGGCCAATCAACAACTTATGCCCATCCTGGTCCGGCTTCATGAAATTTTATGACAAAACTCATGTTAACCACCCTGGCAAATCTAGTATATCGTTTCTTCCCATGATAGACATGAGTCCAACTGATCCATCTTGTATATTCCGTCAACCGTGATATATATATGGCAAATTTAATGTGACACCAGTTTTAACTTTTGATCAGCCTTTCTTCATGAAAGCAACAAATATCATCAATCTTCAAGATTCGGATAGTTATTTGAAGAAAATAGTTTTAAGGTTAGGTGCCTTTCACACAGAAATAAGCTTTTTGAGCACATTTGGTCACATCATGGGTGGTTCCGGATTGAACGATCTCTTAGAAACAGTGAACTCACCAAATGCAGTTGCAAGAGCAATAAGGGGACATTTTTCGGTAAACACAAACAGTATTGTTGGAAAAAATAATTGAAGTTGATATTGTATCCAACCTTGTAACAGAAAATGCTGCGGATATACGCTCTGAAAATCAATGTATAGTAATAGTAATAGTTTGAAAGATGGCATTTTGAACAATGACATAAACCTCAATTTACTCTATTTTAAACTTGAAGCAATATAGAACACACGCATTATGCATCCAATATATAAAATTATTTCAATTATACAGCAGTTTATACGAGCTGAGAGAACTGGAAGTTGGACTTGACATCTTACAGCGCTAAGGAAAATGCTCTTTTACTTTGCAGCTTTTGGACATTCATTTTCCTTAAAATCTGCCTATATATATTTGCAGAACATGCTTGCTTTAGAAAAAACACACCTTGATTTGTACAGGCAATTTCTAGACAAAAAAACATGTAGTAAGACGAAGTGACAGATATTGGGCTGGAATTTCAACAGAACTTGCAATTGAACAGGTATTAATGAGGTCCCTGTGAAAACATGAGGACTGACAAGAGATAGAGGAATGACAGAAGAACAGCGTGCACTTTGGTTACTTTCAATGCAAGCAACTACTGAAATAAATGTTGTTATGCAGCAATACACAGGGAAGAACTACACAAAGAGTGAACAGCATAAGTCTGAGCCAAATTTTTCAGTTAAGAAATGAATGCACATATTTTAATAAAATGCGTATACAGTATATAATGCGTATATACATTTGCAGTACAAATTTAACATATTCTTGGGAATTGAAAATTGTTTTAGAAGAACAATTACATATACATATATAAAGATCACTTACTTGTGGTTACATCCTTAATTACAACACACAGGATCTTTAACATAATAGTAGGTTAAATAATATATATTGTTTTGAAAATATTGTGCAGAATGCACACAAATTATACTATTACTGAGAATAAGTGCACTTAATTACTTAATTACATTATTTTTTTATGCTATTTGATTTATACTCTTCAATATATCGTTTTTTGAATCACTGAAAAGAAATTATGCCAGCAGAGAAATGAATTATTACTCAATTTCTTTTAAAAAAAAACACGATGCGATCACATTAAATTTATTAATTTTGCATGCCATAATTGCTTTTATTGATATAACATAGTAGGTTAAAGAACGTAAAATGTGTTGAAAGTATTAATCACTATGAATAGGTGCAACAAATGGCATTGCTTTTTATGCGTTTTGTTTTATTGAACACCAAACCTTTAATTTTACATACAGAATAACAGATTGTATATGTCTCTTGAATTTAAAAAACAAAAAAAATATTGTTTTAGAAGTGGGTGTGGTAATTCCTTCAACAGTTTCTTGTAATCAAAGAAAACAAATTATGCTTGCGAAAAAGGAATTATAATTATCGTTTTAATCATAATGTCTATCAAAAATCGCGTAGTTACATTTATATGTATTTTTACAAATTCTTCCAGCCAATGTTTCTAAACTGTTTTGTTTTAATTTGATAGTAGGTTTAAGAATTCACTGTGTTGAAAATAATACTAAGTCTGTACAAAGTTACTGTTTTTATTTAAAAAGAAGTGCAACAAATGACATTGCTTCTTGATGTGTTTTGTATTAAAAATTTGTTGAATATTAAACCATTCGTTTTACATGCTCAATACTACTTTTTAAATGTTTCTTAAAGCTTAAAAAAGTAACAACTTACCTTTTTACAATAGTGGGTGGGGTATCTCATATATATATTTATTTCTTTAAATGGTAGAAAAAAGGAAAATAAATAAAACTTGCTTAAAATAAATCATAATGAACAGAATATTTATGAAAATATCATTTTTGTATAAAATAATCCAGTTCAAAAGCATTGTTTTCATATCAATGAGATATACTGTGATAAAAAATAACAATGAATTGCGCTTTTAACATTGTCCTACTGAACCCAAGTTTTACCAATTTTGCCAAGGTAAAATGATTGCAACTTTTTACTAATAATTAACAACATATTGAAATAAATAAATAACAATGTGAAAACTAAACTTTTGCAATTTGATATAGGTTGACCCATTTTTTCTGGCTCCACTGACTGGACTATGAACATGAACAGATAAAATAGAAAAATAAGAATCTCTAAAAAAAGCCCCGGTTTGATTGAGCCTGTTCATGGACGGTACGGTACTGTCAAGTACAAACTACCGTCCACGTTAAGCAGAATTCTACATTTAACATGAACTGGTACAATTTTGAATTCTGAAACATCCGCAGAGAAAAAATGGGCGAAAATAAATAGAATATAATTTTGAAAGGGATCAGAGGTTATGGAGCCTGCATATCACAGATAAGACGTCAAAAAACAAATTTAAAAAGCAGGCTACATATCTTAGGGTGATTAAACAGTATTCAAGTGAGGAATACTGGAACCAACCAACAAGAAAATAGCCAAAAAAAAAGAACTAAATTACCACAAGCACAACAATAATGTCGTGCTGAACGATCTTTAAGGATCGGAAATATAACATCTCTGATTGAAACTCTTGTTATTTTTTTTATATCCATAGCACATAATAAGGATAAATGGGAAGAAATCAATTTAAACTGTTTTCATAATAATCAGAGGAAAGATAAGACGCAATTATCAGGCACTTACCAAACTTTTCAGACCGATAAGTATATGGCTGTATCTTAGAGTTGTAACCCTGATTCACGAATAGATCTGTGTATAGACGATGTCGTTCCGTAGCGTTGCTGGTTGGTGTTGATACAAACACACACAAACATCTTGTGGTATATGCTAGCACCAGTAGCAATACATTTAAGTCCATTTTTTGTAGTATCTGTTATAGACCTTTTTTCTGCAAAATTAAATTACATTTTACTTTAATTAAATGGTATTTATCAATAAAGTCAAGTGCTTTTCTATAAAATTTGCTTTGTTTTAGTTGGAAGAGAGTATCCATTGACAACTAACTAGTAGTATGTTCTTATGCTTTACTAAATTATCCAACATTTCACATGCTCTGACAGACGTTAACCTTAGCATAGAGGTAACCAACAAAATTGAAATGAACCATATGAATATATCAACTTTGAGCCCAAACAAAATGAATGTTTCTTTCAAAAGTGCATGCCAAAAAGTTAACTTCTTTCAAATGTAAATAATTTATAATGATAGTCAATATATACCGTTCGAATTGTTATGTTCATTTTTTTTCATCCTTGTTTTATCTCTTTTAAGTCACACCATCACTGTAAAGATCATATGGCGACTTCGCAGCTCTACTGTCGAGGAATACCTCTGTTACCCCTCTGTACATTACTTTAGGCACAAAAGGACATCCGAGTAGAACCAAAGATGTTTCGTAAGCTTGTTTGATAGCTTCCTCACTTGAAAAAAATACAATGTCCCTTGCGGAACTCGAACCTTAAGCGGTAAGAGGCAAGTGGTTTCAAGTCAACAGCCTTAACCATTTGGTCATGGAGGCACCGTCTCTTACGTGCCGCTTGAAGATTTACTTCGATGAAAGATCAGTAATGTATGACTATAAATTGAGACACAAATGGTTCAAATGTGAAATCACTTGTATTGTAATAGGAAACAATTAACATCATCAAGATTAGATTTTCAAAAGTTACTGATCAAATGTGTCGGAACAGTCAAGTAAGCTTGTCCGCTTTGCAAGCTATATTTGACTTCTTATAAAAACTGTTTTATTATAAAACATTTTTCGCGAAATAAGCTGTATGAGTTATTGAAAATACATGTACAAGCGTTCAATATAAAAATTAAAAGAAAACAAAAATGCAAGCAGTATAATTTATAAATCTGACACTACAATATGTCTGTTCATAGATTGTTGTTGTATGAACAATAAACTATTATGTTTTTGTCGGACTGCTTTCACCATTACAGTCTAGTAAAGTGGGGTAGTATATATGGAATACCACACCACATAGTACTTCTGACCTCATAGCTTTATAGTGACCCCCCAGGTAGTCCTAAACATAGAACGGACCTCAGCCGAATGTTTGCAGGCTGACCAGTTGGTTACGACAATTCTATGAGTACCTCAGTGGTGTGTCCTTTTTCTTTAATTGCAATCAACATTATATCGTCAATTTCGTCCTCCATCTCTTCATTATCATCATCATAATCATCATCAATAGTATCAGCATCATCATTACTATCGTCATATTTTATTCGTTATCGTCATCACTATAAATATCGTTATTATTATGGTCTTTATAATGATGATGATCATCATCAACATTATTCAACCCTGGCCTAAGTTCTACTTATTATAAATTTTGGAAGAAGTTTTAATCATTTTATCGTCAATTTCGCCCTCCACATCTTCTTTTATCATCATCAATAATATCATTATCATTACTAACGTCGATTTTATTTTATTCGTTATCGTCGTCACTATAATTTTGATTATTACAATTGTCTTTATCATGATCATGATCATCATTATCATTAATTCAACCCTGGCCTAAGCTCTACTTATTAAAATTTTTAGAAAAAGTTTTAATGAGAGACCTAAAAAAGAATTAAATGATAGACAACACTTATGTTACACAATTCATGAATTCATGAATTCTTGTAAGAAAAAATCCAAGTAATTATGATTTTGTATAGTGCAGAAATAAAGAGATTATCTTTAAGAAATCAGAAATTAACATTAGTAAACTAAACTAAGCAGTTATAACATTGCCTCTTTTTGGCAAAAGGGTGGACATTTAATGATTGATATAGGTAATAAATCAAACAACGTTTCGCACAAAAATACAAAGTGCCAGTGTGAAACATTTAAGATTTTTTCGAGGACTTTATCTGATTGTCAAAATTCAAAATTTTTGTCATTTAACTTTTTGATAAATTTGTCATGGGCACAGTCTAATCGATAAGTATACTTTTTTCTTATCACTCATGAAATTATTCAAATTAACACCATAAGTGTTAATGGATTTTATAGTGGATATTTTATTTTTAAGTTATGCAAGCCTGGCCATGTTGAACGGCTGCAAACTAAGCTGTCCATACATTAGTGGCATAAACACACTATTATCGTAGTCAACATTGATAAAATCTAATATTCAGTCTGATAACATTAATAATTTCTTATATTGAATTAATTCAACCATGGTGGCGCAAACTTTAACATTTCATTTTTCATTCAGAGTTGACAGTCGCGAACATTCTTTCTTCAATGCAGTTTTTGCATATACGATTTATCGAATGTATCGTTTTTCATTTATTTATCGTTCCGAATATTAACAATTCATAAAAATACGTAATTTACATAATAGGTCAGACGTGAAATTTAATCATAGACGGGTTTGATTTTCAGAAAAGACCCTCCGTTAAGAGTCTAACGGCATTTTTTAGTACAAGCAGGTAGTCAATCGTTTTTACATAATTCGGGTATGCTGAATCCATTTTTTGCTCTACCACCGCTGTACTTGAAGTCCTTGACCTTCAAAAGGTCAAATCAAAATGGCCGCCATTGTCCTTTACCATCTACTTAAAAAATTATTTTTTCAGGTACATATCGTATCGTATTTCCGTTAATCTACATGGAATAAAAGTTTCAATTACTTTAAGGAATAATTGGCTGATAATTATACATGCTTTACACATTGACTGCTATGCCGGCATATTTGATTTCAAAATGGACACCTTTTTAATAAATATAAGTAAAGTGCTTTTAAACAAATCGATCCTTCTGTAGGAATGAGTATCAAAATTGAATTATGATATGAGCAACATGTCATGTCGAATTGTACACACTGTGTAGGTATACTGCACACTTTTATTAACATAATTACTTCAAACTATCACAGGTCATTCTTTTGGACAATTAATCTATATCAGGTATCTGAGATCCAAAATGTCTTACATAAAACCTGCACATTTTAATTAACCATTAAATGTTAAAGTAATCTCTATTTGATAGAATAGCATTTGTGTAAACCTTTATGGACACTAGATCATTTTATAATTTGAATGCCAAGAGTCAAGGTCAGTATGTAAATATTTTAAAAATTGTCTGTCATCTTCACAGGTAAGCGACTATGTTTTTGAGCCCGCATGTCTTTGCACCAATATCTTTTGTACGACCCGATTTCAAATAGAAAATAAAACAACAACAGAATCCCAAAACAGCGATCAAATCGGCAAAATTGAAAACGTTTTAGGCTCGATTTGATTGAGCCTGTACATGGACGTTACTGGAAATTGCAAAGTACCGTCCAAGCACCCTAGCACCGGCCTACGCAAAATTCATATATCAAATGGGGATATTGTGGGAATTGGAATTTAGAAACATCCGCAGATGTGTTTATACGATACTTTTTATTGTTGTATTGATATAGCTACTTTATAAAGGGTCGTATTTATCAATCAAACTTTAAAACATGCCTACACATGGTTAAAAACAGATCATCTATTTATTAATTGGAATAAACTCAAATAAATAGTAGTCATTTTAATCTTTATTATCTTTCATCTTGAAAAAAAAAAGTCTCGCAAACATGAACCATAAACAGTCTACGAGCTTGCACTGTCTTAAGGTTAATGAATAATATAGAGTAAAACATTATAGGTCTACCGCGGGTATTTTGATGATAGTACATTGTAGTACAAGCAGAAGATTAGACAGTTAATTGATACCAATTCTGCAATTAATATATTGACGATTCACTGCTGTTTTACACTTTTTTATTAACACAGAATGACTTGATTGAGCATTTTGGTTTTTTGCTACTAAATTATGTAAAATATATGCTGTCGAGGCCTATGTCTTTAAATTTACTTAACTAAAAATACGAGTTTTTTGTGCGTTTTGTCTTAATTCATTGGTATTTATTCATTGTCTTAGTTAATATCAACGTCTACATTATAATTATGTCACTTTGCCAAGGACGATGCACCTTATTCAATCTCATGTTTTAAAATCATTCAAGTGACTAAGATATATTCAAATCTTCAGACTTGTTTTGTTCTTGGCTATCTTTCAAGAAATTAATGAGTACATGTATTTTATTCCATTATGATATAACATATTTTGATATCATTTTATCTCATATTTTTTCAACTATCACCCCATAAAAATTATTTTGGTATTTCTTAGTGTAATTTTTAGTCACTAAAATTTGTTCCAACTATTTTTGGACTACCCTAACAATTTTGTAAAACAAAGATAAACAAGGGCGTGCAACTTGAAATGTCTTCGAAGCTCGGCTCAGTTAAGGATCCATTACCTTTGTTGCTGGTCGTGTGTTGGGGCTGCGTTTATTGAATGCCACCTTTCTTTGTTTAATCTTCTTTTCCAATTTTTACATTGAAGGCATGGTCACTGTAGTCTTACAAGTTTTACAAACATTAGAAAACATTAAGAAGCATTTATTTATATCATCAGTATTTCTTATTATTTTAAAAAAGCATCCATGAATAAATGACAAAGATATAGACACAACCATCAATGTTCTAAATTGACCTATCTAGCTATCAACCTGAGTAGTCCTTAATGTGCCACAAATGTATGCCTAGTTACGCCAATATCCATCCATTGAATGACAGAATTCATGACCGGACATGACCTTCAAAATATTTATATGAAATGAAATATGGCCTTTAATGTCTGAAATCTTACTTTATGCGATAATTCTTTTCTCACTCAAGACAAATTGTTTCAAAGTACCACGTATTTATTCTTACCTCCCGCTGAATAACACATATATGTTCTGGACATGGCCACAAATGCACTCTCATATCATGACATTTGAAATACAAGTGTGACCTTGGGACTTTTGTCCGCTACATGTCGTCTTATAAAGAGGCGCCATATTTATCCAAAA